ATTCATTTAAACCACTCTGATGTGTTTCTCACCAAATTTCCTAAGCACATATAAGGGTAGGAGTATATAAAATATTGGTGCTACTTTAAGAAAGTTTGCCAAAACATACAGGAGAAATGTAAGTACCACGTAGAATACAATCCAATGTGTTGTATTCCAAGACAGAATAAACGATGGACACTTGGGAAGGACACAGCAGCGTAATTTCACGTTCTCTCAGTGAATAGATGAAGTTTCCCATGAAGAACTAACACCTAAAGAGAACCCTGAGGGGCTCACAGACATTTGTCACTCAAAAGAGTGGCCTGTGCAGAGGAGAGAACATGTGGTAAATAAGAATTCCAAGTCGTCAGCGTGAGTGGAACTTAAACCATGAGAGAAAATGGTAAGGAGAAAGGAAGTGATGAGACGGGAAAATCAAGGAGGGAATAGTCCATAAGGAGCCTTGCGGGGCCATAAAAGAGGTTCAGCTTTATCAAGAAACCGTGAATACTAGAAGAAAAGAAAGCTCAAGAAAGGAGATGACGTCAGAGCATGAGGGAAAGGAGGTGTCTGCCTCTGTATTCACACATGTGGTGCCTGCAGATACAGGGGCCGCTCTGGGGGTCCTGGGGTATCCATGGATGTTGGCAACTGTAGAAAGTCCTGGAAATCCTGGGAACAACTCCATGGAACAGTCTGTATACTCATCACGGTTGTTGTGGGGAATAGACCTCGTCTCCAGAGCACATTGTGTGAGTGATAAATCAGTTACACTGGGTGAAATCACCATTGGAGAGTATAGTGTAAGAATAACAGATAGAAAACAAGAAGTGAGAGTTCTGAAAATAGTCTATTGAGCAATACCAATACATCACATGGGAATAGAAACGGAGGCTAGAAACAGAGAAAGTAGAAAAAGAGCTTGAAAACTAGGAGGCAAATCAGAATGATATCACAGAACTCATCGTAAAAATGATTTAACTTTATTTTTTAAATGCTGTGGCAATGCCAGGCCAGACAAAAATAAAAACATGTCAATGATTTCAACAATAACAAAGTTTTTATAGGTATTAGGAAAGCTGAAGGAGGCTGGAAGTGAAAGTCTTAAAATTGATTTTTAACTTTTTAAGATTAAAATGTTATTAATTTTCAAAATTAATTTTAATTATTAATTTTAATGTAATTATTTCAATTTTTGATTTATTTAATTTTAATTTTAACTTTGGAGTTTTAAAGTTTATTAATTTCATTTGAATTTAATTAAATTTTTAATTTAAAGCCTAAATTAACTGTCAGTTAAGCTGAGATGGTAACATTATTTTTTTTCAAAAGAATGAAAACATCATGAAAATCAGCACAGCCTAGAAGATTCTATGTAGTGAAGCTAAATGTAGATTAGCTTCTGAGTTGTTGAGAGAAAATGGTCCATAATCAATTAACTGAATGTTATCTGAAAGCATATGATGACATCTCTGTTGTAAATGTCGTGACCATAATCTTTTCTAACACTATAAATAAAACAGTTGCATATCAAGTCATCTATAGGTATCACAGTATTACTAAGAAGGAACACAATCAGAAAAAAGGGACAAGAGAAAGAATCAGTATCTAAGATTGTATTCTGTTGTCATTTTTCCTTGTTTTCCAGGAGAAATCCATCTTGCCCTTAAAACCATCCTTGGAAAGTGACAATATATTTAATTGCCTGTATATATCATCTAGCAGTTTGACTTGAACCAAGAGCTTTTAAGTACATGTGAAATGACATCCTCCTTATGCAAGCCACTTGGAAATCTGACCCAGGTAATGGATTACAACCAACAACATTTGGAAATCATGAGGGACAAAAAATGACCAAAGAAACAATTGGATAGTTTCACACAACACAAATCCATAGGGCAGCTCCACTGCTCATAGCTGTGAGATTCAGGAAGGCTTTTGAAGTACTGGCAATGCTGATTATACAGGGAAAGGAGAAAATAAGCATAGACTGGCTTGTCTGGCTTCCGTATGCACAGTCCTGCTGTAGACTTTGACAATCTGTCTTCTTGCCAAAGCTTGATTTTCCCATGAAGATCAGGAAGATATCAAAGACCAGTAATGAGAAACCACACCGCAATAACAACTTTCATCCTGCTGGGACTGACAGATGACCCACAACTGCAGGTGCTGCTTTTTCTCTTTTTACTTCTCACCTATGTGTTGAGTGTAGCAGGGAACCTGACTATCATCACCCTCACCTTGGTGGACCCCCACCTTCAAACGCCCATGTACTTTTTCCTCCGAAATTTTTCCTTCTTAGAAGTCTCATTTACCACTGTATGTATTCCTAGATTCCTTTACAGTCTAATGACTGGGGACAATATCATTACCTACAACGCTTGTGCCAGTCAAATATTCTTTGTCATTCTCTTTGGAGCCACAGAATTCTTTCTCCTGGCAGCAATGTCATATGACCGCTATGTGGCCATCTGCAGACCCCTGCAGTACATGAGTGTCATGAGCTCCAGGATGTGTACCTTATTAGTCCTCTCCTGTTGGGTAGCTGGTTTAATGATCATCATCCCGCCCCTGAGCCTGGGTCTCCAGCTTGAGTTCTGTGACTCCAACACCATTGATCATTTCAGCTGTGATGCAAGTCCCCTCCTAAAGATCTCATGCTCAGACACTTGGCTAATAGAACAAATGGTTATTTTCATGGCTGTATTTGCACTCATGACCACCCTACTCTGTGTGGTCCTGTCCTACACATACATCCTCAGGACAATTCTGAGATTCCCCTCTGTCCAGCAAAGGAAGAAGGCCTTCTCCACCTGCTCGTCCCACATGATTGTGGTTTCCATCACCTACGGCAGCTGCATCTTCATCTACATCAAGCCCTCTGCTAAGGAAGAGGTGGCCATCAACAAGGGAGTGTCGGTTCTCACAACTTCTGTTGCACCCTTGTTGAACCCCTTCATTTACACCTTGAGGAATAAGCAAGTGAAGCGAGCTTTCAATCACTCTGTGAAGAAGATTGCACTTCTCTCCAAGAAGCGGAAGGTCTGATAGATCAAAATAAAATGAAAACACTTGACCAACGATCTTATTGCACCTTCTAGCTTACTTCATTGCTTGCCGCCTACAATTCTTTTCAATCTCACCTTTATAAAACTCCTTATTCTTTTTAACAGAACTGATAGATAGTGTTTTCCCTCACTGTGAGACTGAAAAATGTATTTCTAAGAAATTAAAGTTTTCTCTGCTTCTGAGTTAATCTTGTCCTCATTGTTCTGAAGAAGGAAATAAAGTGCTTTTATAAAAAGTATATGAATGATCTGTGTATTAAATTTTATGGTAATGGTACTAATTTCATCCTCCAATATAAAGTTATCAGAATTAATATCATAATAATAATCATAGCAAAAATGGAGAAAAATGGAACATAAGGATTAAAAATAAATTGTGAAGCCAGTGCTGCGGCTCAATAGGCTAATCCTCTGCCTGCGGCACCGGCACACCGGGTTCTTGTCCCGGTTGGGGCGCCGGATTCTGTTCCGGTTGCCCCTCTTCCAGGCCAGCTCTCTGCTGTGGCCCGGGAGTGCAGTGGAGGATGGCCCAAGTGCTTGGGCCCTGCACCCCATGGGAGACCAGGATAAGCATCTAGCTCCTGCCTTCGGATCAGCGCGGTGCACTGGCTGCAGTGCGCTGGACGTGGCGACCATTGGAGGGTGAACCAACTGCAAAGGAAGACCTTTCTCTCTCTCTCTCTCTCTCTCTCTCTCTCTCACTATCCACTCTACCTGTCAATAAATAAATAAATAAATAAATAAATAAAGGGTTTGGGGCTGCAATACAGTGGGTTAAGTCAGAACAGAGTGTTCGGGGTGGACTTCCACCACAACCTCTGATCCGGCTGCCTGATAATGTGTTTGTGGGGCAGCAGATGATGGCTGAAGGGCTTGGGTCCTGCCACCCACACGGGAGACCCAGATGTAGCTCTTGACTCCTGGCTTCAGCTTGGCCCAGCCCTGACTGTTGCAGGTATTTCTTTGGGGAGTGAACCAGTGGGTGAACTCTCTCTCTCTCTCTCTCTCTCTCCACACACACACATACACACACACACACATCTCTCTCTCTCCATATACACACGTGCACACACACACACACATATAAGTATACACACACAAATATAAATACTAAACTAGTATCACACAATCAAAATTATAACTCACTTCAAAGGAAAATGCTTTCTTAACATTGTGACATTTCAAAAATTTTAAATAATTCACTATATTATATTTTAAAGAATAAGATCTCCTGGAATATTTTAAGTATATTTATTAGTAACAAGATTTAATTTATCTAATAATTTAAATATAGCAAAAATGTGTTTCTTTAAATTATTTAACAGATTCAGTTATTTCAGATTCTATATTTTATAATGCAACAAAACACCATATTCATTTTATTCTAGCAGGCTTTTAGAGAAAATTGATTTTGCTATTTTAAGTTTCTGGTGTAGAAAAGTTTTCATATTGAAGAACAGAAAGTTAAAATCAAGGTGAGTAGAGAGGAAATAGTTTCTAATCTCAGGTGACCTAAAGAAGACAAACATTGTTTCAATTTTTAAGGTCTGTTTATTTGAAAGAATTACGAAGAGAAGGAGGGAGAGACAAGAGAGATACTGATATCTTCCATTTCCTGGTTCACTCCCCAAATGACTGCAATGGCCAGAACTGGGCTGGTTTGAAGCCAGGAGCCAGGAGCTTCCTCCGGGTCTCCCACGCAGGTGCAGAGGCCCAAGGACCTGGGCCATCTTCCCCTGCTCTCCAAGGCACATCAACAATTAGCTGGATCAGAAATGAAGCAGGAAGGACTCAAACCAGCACTCCTGGGATGCAGCGTCACGGGCAGTGGCTTAACCTACTGCACTATAACACCGGCTCCCATATTTCAATTTAAACTAAAAGAGCCAAATTGGTTTTATTTGTTCAAAGTTTCTTTTATGTTTTCCCTTAATATTTCAATAAATGATATTATTTGTTTGAAGCAGAAAATATCTTTCTCAATACAGCTCTGAAAGCTTGTTTAACTTGCTGGTTCCTCAGAGTATAAATGAATGGGTTCAACATAGGGGCAACTGAAATATTAAGCACAGCTACTCCCTTGCTTAAAGAAACTCTTTCATTTGCTGTTGGCTTTATGTAGATAAATATACAACTACCATAAGTGATGGAGACAACAGTCATGTGAGAAGAGCATGTGGAAAAAGCCTTTTTCCTTTGCTGAGCTGAAGGGAGTTTGAGAATTGTTCTGATAATGTGGGAGTAAGAAAGGACGACCAATGACAATGTGACCAGCAGTGTCACGGCAGCCAACAAGAAAGCAATCAGTTCCAGTAAATGTGTGTCTGAGCAAGAAAGTTCCAGGACAGGAGAAACATCACAAATGAAGTGGTCGATGATATTGGAGGCACAGAAATCCAGATTCAGACCCAGAGTCAACGGCGGGAAAATGAGCAGGAATCCAGCTACCCAAGAACTGAGTACAAGTTGATGGCAGACCTTTCTGTTCATGATGGACGAGTAATGCAAAGGTTTGCAGATGGCAACATAGCGGTCGTAAGACATAGCAGCCAGAAGGAGAAACTCTGTGACCCCCAAGGAAATGTAGAAAAACAACTGAGCTATACAACCATTATAGGAAATGCTCTTTTCCTTAGTTGCAATGGTGATCAAGAATCTAGGAATGCAAACACTTGTGAACAAAATTTCCAGGAAAGAGAAATTACGGAGGAAGAAATACATTGGCATCTTGAGATTGGACTCCAGCAGAGTCAGTGCAATGATGGTTAAGTTCCCCATCAACCCTAACATGTAATTTAGAAACAGAAACAAGAAAATTATAATCTGTAACTGTGAATCATTTGTCAGTCCCAGCAGGATAAACTCTATCTGCCTTGTGTGGTTCTTCATTTCTCTTTTGTGAATTCCACTTTATTCTGGAAATAAAAAGATACAAAAATCAGAAACTACATGAGTAGGTTTATAAACAAGAAAAGATACAGGAAAGGAAGTACATTCACAAAGATACCCATTAAGAGGCAACACTCCATAGATGCTGAAGACGTGAAATAGAACTATGCAACAGAAATTGTTTACTAAGATTTGAAAAGTGTTGTAGCAATCACCTCATTTTTGGAAACTCATCTGCAAAACCCATAATAGTTTATTTTTTCACCTTCCCAGTTCAAGCTTCTAGTTAATTACAATTAATACCAAGTTTGTCTACTTGTTAAATAAACCATAAAAGGATCTTGAATCAGGATTCAAACATGGTTAATCCATCCAAAGAAAATATGCCAGTGAAATGAATTAAGTTTTGAAACTTTATATTTCAGATAGAAGTGACATTTGTTTAGATTCTCATTGCAGCCTCTTGAAACTTCTCTATAAATTACTGAGGAAGATACAGGGAAATGTCCAGGAAAGTATGGGTTTATACAATAAAATAAGTACAAATTAAATCTAATAAAATTAAAATTGAATATTAAGTATAGCCACATTTGCAAAAAAAAAACAAGAATTTATTTAGGACTTCAATGTATTTCAATGTTTTGCCACATGTAGCCAAGATTATGGGAATAAAATGGAGAATAGAAAATGCATTGCAACTCTTCCCAATCTCAACCTGTTTACAGGTACCTAAAATCTAAACCTGTTTATCAGATATAACTGTAAGAGTGAAAAATCAGGGTTTTTTGGTCACAAGACCTGTGTCTCATGCCCCTAGCTGTTATTCATATACCCAACAGTGACTATTAAGGATACACCAGTGTGAGAAGGATGTATTGATGTAGATGGGATGGCCACATTCTGATACTATTTCATACTTATCATTAGCTAGACAGGTTTCCCAAGTGTTAGGTTGCCAGTGATGAAAACACAGTGAATGGTAAAATGAAGTACAGCAAAGTGGGATTAGAGACTGAATTAAACCTGTGCTGATCTGCCTGTGGATCTGAGAAAGAACGTACTAATGAGAGCTGAGACAAAGGATAATCCTCTCTCCATGTTTAGACAGGTCTTTCACTGTTGAACACTGAACTTCATTTATATAATTTTTTAAGGCAGAAAAATAAGAGAGAGAGAGCGCGCACTCCCCTCTGCTGGTCACACCCCAAATCAATGGCTGGGACTGGGCCAGGTGGAAGCAGGGATCCAGAATTACTTGAGCCCCCACCACTGCTTTCCAGAGTCTGCACTGTCAGGAAGCTGGAGTCGGGAGCCACAGCTGGGACTCTGACGTGAGACGCAGGTGTCTTAGTCTCCAAGCTAAATATCTGCTCCCAAGAATGGTTTAAGTGTTAAACTGAATACCACAAACAAAAATATAGCAGAACACAAGAAGAATAGAATAGGCAGGTCAGGATTTCAGAATCTCCTAGAATTTGTTTGTTGCATGGTCTGGGAATAATTACCCACTTCCTTATTTTCATCTATGAAAAAGCAATAAAATAGTTTTTGATTGACATTATAAGGATCAAATATATTACATACAGAACACATGAATGTGTAGTAATTGCCTAATAATCGGAGAGGAGACTAGTGCATGTAAACACTCAAAGTGTAGGCAGAGTTCTCACTGCCTTATCCTGCTCGAGAGTACACCTGCAGCAGGGGCTCCGCAGTCATTGAAATCTGCTGAGACAAGCAGAGGCCTATGGAGAGCAGAAAAGATTCTCCATCAACGTTCTGGAATAGATTATGTAATGTATAAACCATGATGTTGTAACTAAGCATAGCTCTCTGTTTCCAAGGGGCAGCAATTCTATGAGTATCAGATGTGTTCCAGCTTCTCAATGTGATAACACAAGTGTCTGAGAGAAATTTCTTCAAGTTCGCTTTTAGTATGCAGTGAAGGGAAAGAGTGACAGAATAGCAGGGAATTCAGTTTACAGCATCTTTAGAAACATGCTATTGGGAGCAATCGAAAGTTTAACTTAGCAGCTAAGATGCCCATGCTGCACATCAGACTGTACCTGGATCTGATTCCCAGAATTTGAGAAGTGAGCCAGTGGATAGAAGTTTCTCTCTCTCTCTCTCTCCCTCTCTCTCTCTCTCTCTTCCTCTTCCTCTTTGTGTGTGTGTGTGTGTGCACGCACGCCATTCTGCCTCTCAAATAAATCGAGAGATGTTACAAAAAAAAGAATACATTAACAAATTATAGAATAATAGCCAGAAAATAATTCCATTAATCTCGTAGGGACTGAAATTAGGATATATATTGTTGTAAAAAAAACTCTGAAATCCATGCGTTTTAAGGAGTCCTCAAAATGTGATAGAAATGTGTTATGAAAATGCATGACTTTAAAAAATTTGCACATTAACTTATCTTTTATTTGCATTTCTTATACATTTGCAAATACATTTATACAATATGGACAAATCTTAGAACTGTAAGTCAAAAGGTATGTTCCAGAAAACAACATATAACTGATAGCATATGTACAAACCTACATATAATACAATATGGTTGAGAGATAATGGATAGAGAAACATCATAATTGTTGATATATAGGTGATATAGATAGATGATAGACAATCTCAGAGAGAGAATGATATATTTCTCTATACATGGGTGTGCGTATGTATGTAAATGTTGCACTTATTGCAAAAAATAATTTTCTATCTAAAGATTATTACTATCATAGATGCCTAACTAATTCCAACTGAGTATTCCAGAAGAAATTTTACAATACTAAAGCATGCATCAAGACATTTTTGGTTCACAATATGTGAAAATCTATAATCTTGTCAATACTAAGAAAAGCAATATTTGTTGCAGTGAGTAGTTTGATTTTAAACTTAAATAATATGATGGCCCCAAATTAGTAATAATCAATTTTATGCTACCCATAATGCTACAGCAATAATTTTAGAGATTTTCACTTTGTGTTTTATCATCCAATATACATTTCTTAATTAAAGCAATACCAAGCTTTCTAAGAAGAGCAAGACTAGGTGATCAAGCATTAATAACTGACTAATTAGGCACCCATGTTCAGTCACCATTTGCAATGCCAGCATCAATAGGCATCAGAGTGAAAAACTTTAAGCATGGGGGAGACCAGAGTGGAGTTCTAGGCTTCTGGCTTCAGTCTGACCCAGACCTAACTATAGCAGCCATTTGGAGAGTGAACCTGTGGATTGAAGTTAAAGATTCTGTCTCTCTCTCTCTCTTAGTCTCTGCCTTTTGAATGTATAAAATAAAACTCAATTAAATGCTTGATTAGTATTTGATTGATTAGATAAATAATTTCCTTTCAAGTGATCTAAATGGGCACTTAGAATATGCAAGAATAATAAATTGAAATTATTACAGTAATAAGACAGTTCAGTAACATGAACACAGAAAACAATTACCTAAAAAGGTAAACACTTTTTAGGTTACTTGAGAAGGTAAATGTCACGGTATTATTTAAGAGTGTAAAATGGAAAATACCTTCAATATGTAAAAATAAGTAATTTTCCAAGTAATTTTTATCAGGTAATAAAATTTTGAAGTAAAAACAGTAGTTAATATACATGAGTGCTCTTCAAAAAGTTCACTGTAAATGCCTATGATGAAAAAACTAGGTATGGTTTTCAAAATAAAGCACCAAAATTAACTTATTGTTTAATTCCATTTTTCAACATTTTGACATACCGTTGTAGTCTCATGTAAAATATTGTTAATACATTTTATATACCAAATACCAAAGAGAACTGTATAAGCTGATCCTATTTCTTATAAGGATCTACACAAAGTGCATTTAGTTATGATTTTTACAAATTCACACAAAACAATAGAAAGTAAAAATAAAAATATCTTTTCATAAGATATTATAGTGCATTCATATTTTAAGAAAAAAATCCAGTCATTATTAACAATATTCCATCCAAGGAAATCATCAAAAAACATACATTTTTTCCAATTTCTCTATTAACAGCAAAAATATTAGTGAATTCAGAAACTGATTGATTATTTTAGACATGTTTTTCACTAAAAGAAAAATGATGCACTTCATTTTCCTCTGAACTTTTGTTGCCAATTTGCAAAATAAGTCAGATGTTTCCACATAAACTTAGAACATAAGCACTGAAAGAGAAAGAAAAATAAAATATCCTATGTGGTATACAAAGTTTTTCTTCTTTTAAATTAAAATATTTAATTAGCATTCCTTCTTACACTCGTGTTATTAATAAATATCTTTGCCTCTTCTATTTTCCTTTTTGTTGTTGAATATGTAATATTTGTATTTCTATGTGATTTCCTCATGACTTCATTTATAAGTTTTAAAAACTCCACGTTACTTCATTAATCAGTTTTATTTTTAGTAAACATTTTCTTTTCTTTTCTTTCTTTTTTTTTTTTTTTTTTTGGACAGGCAGAGTAGACAGTGAGAGAGAGAGACAGAGAGACACCCTCCAGTGGCCGCTGTGGCCAGCGTGCTGCGGCCAGCGCACCTTGCTGATCCAAAGCCAGGAGCCAGGTGCTTCTCCTGGTCTCCCATGTGGGTGCAGGGCCCAAGCACTTGGGCCATCCTCCACTGCACTCCCGGGCCACAGCAGAGAGCTGGCCTGGAAGAGGAGCAACCGGGACTGAATCCGGCTCCCCAGCTGGGACTAGAACCCGGTGTGCCGGCGCCACAGGTGGAGGATTAGCCTATTGAGCCGCAGCGCCGGCCAGTAAACATTTTCTTATTTTTTGTTACTTACCATGTTTATTTTCCTGTGTTACTAATTTTCCAAAGACTTAATTCCGGATATTTGATGGACATGACAGCTCTTAGAGCTTTACAGATAAGTCCAAATCTTCCTTACATTTAAGTTGACACTTTTTATTTCGCTAATGTCTGTGTTTTACCCTCTATTCTTTTTTTGCAAAATATAATGAGCATTTTTGTGATTAAATGTGGGATCCAGAGGATTTTCAA